CATTAAGAACAAAATTGGGTTTGCTAATTAGAAATGCAATATGTATTCTTTTGAATTTACTCATTAGGAATGCAATTGAGTTTGGTCATAATGAACTCCATATCGATCTTATTGAATTTAGTCATTAGGAAGGCAATTGAGTTTGGTCATAAGAAAGTCAATATCGATTATATTGAATTTACTCATTAGGAATGCAATTGAGTTTGGTCGTTTGTGGATTACTGCACCCGTGTGCACAGAACGATTATTGCTCGCACCAATGTTTTTCTATTAAAGCGGTACTCCACCGATTTTTTGAGCTACCTCAACTAACTATATTTTCTGACTCCCCGGCCTTTACTCTCTCTGGTATGTTATTTAGAATCGCGAAATTCATAATAGGTATTGTGAAATCGGCAAATGAAAATGATACAAAAACCAACATTCAAATATACGCGCACTTTTCAGTGCCGTGACGTCAGTGGCAGGCAGGCTTGCCAGTCGAGAAAGCAGCCAAAAAATAGAATATGCCAATCATTTGTTCCGTGCTGGAGCGCGGGTACTGCAGCGAGCTTCCCAAGCATTCATTTGACACCATGAAACTGCTTCGAATCAGTTTAAAAAAATATCTACAGCCCAAAGAGTGAACCCCTGCCTTCCACTGACTTAACTTTTTCATTGTTGCCAGTAGAGACTTCGGGCTTGAAAAACACGGTGAGGACCAAAACTGTAAATTCAATAACTTTGCAAAAAAAAAAAACAATATTTTGACCTAATATTTGGGATACCATTTTCACGATGTTTGTTGGTTAGTTTAGCAAAATTTCAAGCAAATCGGAGACAATGAAAAAAACAGTGGAGTACCCCTTTAAGGGATAGAGTCCAATGACGTCGAAACACTGTTTATCATTTATGAGACTTCCAAGGAGGAAATAGCAAACTGGGAACCTTAGTAGATGCTGAGGTGGTCACCGGCTAAATGAATACCTTTCTTATGTAGGGTATATAAGGCGGTGGGGTAGTCAAGTGGAGTAGGATTAGTGGGTTGTGTGTGCTTAGTTACGATGTTTGTGTTCGTTTCCTCTATGTGCTTTGTTTCCTTCATGTTGCATGCTTTAAAGAATTATGCAAAAAAAAATTCTCAACCAGAGCAATTTTTTTTTAAACACAGTTGCAATTAATTCTATTGAAGCACGCTGCAAAAAATTCAAATGAAAGTCAATTGCAATATTTTTATTAAAACTCAAGAGCAAAAGTTCTATTGAAACACTATTGCCAAAATTCCATTGAAATCCAATTGCTAAAAATTCAATTAAGACTCAGTGGCCAATACCCTGGGACGGATCAATAACGACTCAATAGAAAAAGTCAATTAAGTTTTAATTGAGACTGAATGCGGTGTATTGAGTGAGTCCTTTACACTTTCAATTGAAAGTCAATTCATTCTTTTGTAAGGGTCACCGCCTTCACGGCCCTCACCGCCCTCACGGCCCTCACGCCACTCACCGCCCTCACGCCATTCATCGCCCTCACGCCACTCATCGCCCTCACGCCCCTCACCGCCCTTGCAGCCCTGACACCCCTCACGCACTGATGGCCCTCACACCATTCAGGCCAGCTTCAGATGGGGCAATTTCGTCCAGAAACTTTGCGTCGCAACACCAGCAGCACTGGTCGCCCGCGATCACACGCAGCAACTAATTGCTGCCATTTGCCATCGTCATCATAAAATTTTATTTTTCTTGCACTATTTAGACACAATTACGCATTATAAACGTGTTTTTACGCATTTAAATCTCGTTAAGAATACTAATGCACCTTTCTGAAACAGTTTATTTCCACAAAAAGATCGATTTTAAACAAGAACCAAGTCTTTCGGTGTCATCATCACCGGCAAGAGGTATCACGTGAAAATGTTCCGTCCCTGATATGATGCAGCCGCTTCAAACGTATTCGAATTGCTCCGAGTTGCTTGCTTATTTTGAGCCGGACCCGATCTCAGCAATTCGTGTCGATCTAGGGAAAGCTAGAGAACAACCCGCCATTAACACCAAAAATGATGAGAAAGATGCTCGATCTGAAGGGGCCTCACACACTCACCGCCCTCACGCACTCATGGCCCTCACACCACCTCATGCACTCATCGCCCTCACGGCCCTCACGGCCCTCACGCCTCTCATACCACTCACTGCCCTCACGGCCCTCACGCACTCACCGCCCTCACACCACTCACGCACTCATGGCCCTCACGCCACTCACCGCCCTCACGCACTCATGGCCCTCACGGCCCTCATGGCAGTCACGGCCCTCATGGCCCTCACGGCCCTGACGGCCCTCACCACCCTCACCGCCCTCACGGCCCTCACAACCCTGGCCGCCCTCAAGGCCCTCACCGCCCTCACAGCCCTCACAGCCCTCACGGCCCTCACTCACCCTCACACTCATGAATTTTCCTGGTTCAGAAACTCACTGACCCTCACCTCACCTGTGAAGATGAGGGTGAGTGAGGGTGAGTGAGGGCCCTCATGAGTGAGGTTTTCCGAGGTATGGTCTAAGGAACAGTCATACTTCTTTCCATGCAGGCGACAGTGGGTACCCCCTGGAGCCCTGGCTGATGACTCCTGTGTCTGGGCGGCTAGCACTTGTCATACCGGCTGGGCAATACAATCAGGCCTACGCCTCCATGAGGGCCGTGAGGGCGCTGCATCGGGCTGCTGAAGAGCAGGTTCCGGTGCTTGCACAGGCACCGGACCCTTTACCATCATCCGAAGATCGCCGGCACGATCGTGGCAGCCTGTGGGGTGCTCCACAATGTGTGCCTGCTCAGGAGAGGCCGAGCCAGAGCCACAGTCAGACTCAGACAGCAGTTCTGACGAGGACAATGATGAAGAAGAAAGCGCTGACGCAGCTCGCGAGCGGAGAGGCCTCCAGTCGAGGCGTCTCTACAGTCAGGGCAAGGCTGTGCGGGACCGCCTTGTGCTTCTGCCGAGCACAACCCACCTGCAACGCGTCCGTGAACGACTGCGTCGCACCCGTCGTCGCCGCCAGCACCAGTGATGCACTGTAACTCGTCACCGGGGCCTCTTTGAATTGTGTGTGTGCGTGTGTGTTTGTACAGTGGGGTGGGTGTTATGCCAGAGCCATTTTGGACTCTGTGTGTGTGTGTGCTGCGCCGTGGATGTGCCGAAGTCTGTGTCAGTGTGTACAGTGCTGTGGATGTTGTGCCGGAGAAACCTTGTTTGGACTCTGTGTGTGTGCGTAGGGAAGGTGTTTTAATGTTTAGGGTGTAAGCACCACAGGATTGGATGCATGTGTACGTGTAGTTCTTTTGAATTCTGTTCAGTGCTTTGGGCAGAGACTCCACAGGTCTGGATTGCGTGGGGTACGTGTAGTGTTTTTAGAGCGCAGCTCTTAGGGGACCGTTTCCAGCCTGAGCGGCGTTGGCGTAACTGGGGGGGGGGGGGGGGGGGGGGGTTCACGTGACTCCCGAGGTCACGTGACCCCCCCCCCCCCCGAGGTCACGCGACCCCCCCGGGGTCACGTGACTACCCGCAGGTGACGTGACCCACCTCAGTACCCTTCCCTACTCCTCCTCAAGAGCTGCGCTCCAGTTCGGCGTTACAGGAATTTGTAAACGGCTTTCATTTTTTTACTTTTCAATGTTTTGGGTGCATGCTCCACAGGTCTGGATTGCATGGGGCACATGTAGCATTTTTCACTTGTGTTCAATGTTTTGGGTGCATATTCCACAAGTGTGGATTGCATGGGGCGCATGTAGCATTTTTTACTTGTGTTCAATCTTTAGGCACAAACTCCTCAGGTCTAACTTGCGTGTAAGCTTGTAGTGCTTTTGACTTGTATTCATTGCTTTGGGTGCAAGCTCCGCAGGTCAGGATTGCATGTGCACGTGTAGCGCTTTTGAATTCTGTCCAATGCTTTGGGTGCAAACTCCACAGGCCTGGATGCAAGTACACGTGTAGTACTTTTGAATTGTATCTATTGTTTTGGCTGCAGGCTTCACAGGTCTGGATTGCATGGACACGTGTGCTTCCAACTTGTGTTTAATGCTTTGGTCGCAAGCTCCACAGGTTCCTGGATTGCATGGGCACTTGTAATGCTTTTGATTTCTGCTGTGGCACTTGCAGCTTTTTTTCTGGAGATCGACTGATGAAGGTCCGTGACACAGTAATAACAGGACTGCAAAGGATGTTTGCAAGAAAGAAGAAGTAGTGCCATTCAAAGTAATTCCGGCCACTATGTTGCATCTTTGAGGTGGTGCACCGTGGCTGGGTGTGATAAACTTTGGTCTAAACTTATCTGAGTGAGGAACCTCATTTACCCTTGCCATATCTTGCAGATGCCAACAGGCAAAAAAGTTCTTGCTAGCAAATGTGTATTTTTTTAATATTTTTCACCATACTATTGGGTTCGAATGAAATGCAAACACCAGAGCCCGTGGCCGTCAACAGATGCTGCACCTGCAGGAGGCATCCGGAAGCTTATACAACTTTGGGGTGGAGAATAGAGCGCTGCGAGCGGGTGCCCCTACTGAAAAAAAAACGTATAAAAATTCATACTGGTTGACCCGTATATCTCATACGGTGTTATGGGATACGGGTCTCCCGTATGCTACTGGGAACCCGTACCTGTACAGGATGACCCATTCAGATACAGGAAGCTGTACCTGTATGGGCTGACCCGTTCAGATACGGGACCCGTACCCGTACGGGTTGAACCATTTAGGTAAGGGAAACTGTGCCTGTACGGGTTGACCCATTTAGATATAGGAGCCCGTACCTTACAGGTTGACCCATTCAGATATAGGAACCAATATTTATACAGATTCACCTGTTTAATAGAGAAACCTATATCTTTACAGGTTTAACCGTTCTGACAGTAATAGGAATCAACATGGTGTTGAACGTTTGCATACGGACGTGCGGATCTTTGCAGGTTTAACAATTTTCATGCATTTGTCATGCAAAGAATGAGCATGAGCCAGGTCATTTCAGGTTATATGTGTATTTAGTGAAGGCAAATTGGCATACTGCAGAACATCAACAAGAAGCTTAACCTCTAAGCAAGCTTAGAAGTCAAGCTTCTTGTTAATATCCTGCAGTAGGATATTAACAAATAGGCATACTGCAGTAGGTTGACCCGAGCTGTCCTCTTCCCTGGAGAGGCCTCTCGAGGATGCCTCCATATGTACTCGTTGAAGGCATCTGCACGGGAAAATAATACAACAATAAGTCATGTATATCTACAGTTTCTCGAAAAATTTAATATTTTACTTCCTGCAATTATAAGCAAGCAATTTCCACTACACTTTATGCTTTGTTAATATCTTGTGATACCATGTAGACTCCAAGAGCAACTTCTTACGATTACGCAGTCTGCTGAAAACAGCAGGTATGCATGATTCGGCCAGAAAGTTTTGAACAAGTTGAGACCGAGTTCGGAGGAGTGCAGAAGCAGTGCGCAAGTCGGGCTGCGGCTGCGTGTAGTTAAGCTCCAGCGTTACAAACGACCCTGTAATTGGTTTCCGAAAGACCGAGGGGTTGCCACCTGTTACTGCATGAACGCTGAACTGACTTCAGCCAGCGCAAGATTCTGTGGAACCGAGGCTGAACTCGTGCAGCACTGGGATAAATCGAACAGGCCAGTTCACCGTCCAAGCGACTTTTGATTGAATCTAATGCATCAGTTCTTACACTATTTGAACTATATCGGCTGGTTCAAGCAAATCGAAAAGACCTAGTGTGACTTCCCACAACTATGCACCTAAAGTTTGCTTTCAACGGTGTGTTCCTTGCATTTCAGTGTCTATAAAAATTATAGACCCTGGAGCAGGGGGACAAAAAGGAACGAAAGACATGAAGCTCGGGAGCGTTATGTCTGTCTGTCCCTTTTTGTCCCCACGCTCCCGGGTTACTACGTCTATCCTTAACCAGCTCGCCTGCCTTTAACTAATATGAAAGTATGTTGTATGAATCCAAATATGTATTTTCAATTCTGAACATGGGCCTCCGATTGCCTAAAGCCTCGAACACATTTCATGCCCAACAATGTCACCATGGAAACGAGTGAAAGGAACATTGAACACACAATTCTCGGCCGGCGGTTTTTGTGCGAAAGAAAGATTTTGAGCCGCAATTGCTGTTCTGGGCATGTATATAAATTAACAACACAGATTTGACATCAAGAATCATTTAACAAACTTAATATCCGAGTCACCACCGTTCAATGGTCCATTCATATCTGTTAGGAGGAATGACCGCGATGAGAAGGTAGTTTAGAAAAAATGGGCAGTACTCAAAGGACAGAGCCAAACATAGTTCGGTTGCAGCAGCTCTAGTGGACAAACAGACTCGTTTCACAACTTTGCTAGTGCCAGCTTTTCGTTCAAAAGAAAAAATAAGCGCCTCACAGCTCCGCCGGGGAGCCAGCAGAAGGTCCTGCGAGCAGGCAAGTGATATCATGGACCTCCCCCAAAACTTGCAGGGATTAGCAGATATTTGCAACGCGGAGCATGTTGCTCTAAAACCTCCATAGTGTGAATGCTTCAGAAAGCGCCAAGCGACCTAGATGACCGTGACACGGTCACTTTATTTTTCTTCATATATTAAAAACAAAGAAGGAGATAGGGCTTCTTCATTTCGGTTTTGCGCTCGGAGCTTCACGTTCCTAAAGCTCGAGCTAGTCGAACTGTGACCCTTCAACAGCCTATAACACCGAAAGTTCTGAAAGCCTTGGAATATTTTATCCCATTCATTTTGCCGTAGCAGATTGCAACTTTGCAGCCATAAGGTTTGAATGTCTCACCAAGTATGAGACATCTCTGAAAAGTGGGCACTTACTGCTGACTGCTGCCAACTTGACTGGAGTCAGGGCCCTCTTGGCCACGGTGCCCTTGAAGCGCCCTCATGGCGCCCCTCACACTCGGCCCATGCAGGTCCTCCCTGCCGAAGATCAGCTTCGTGGCCTCTTTAACGAAGATGGAGTCTCCCCGGGCTCCCCTGACGTAGGACAGTTTGTACTTTTGCACCAAGACACCCTGGCCAAGGTGAACCTAGAAATAGATAGAAATGCTCTACAGGAAATGCAGCCAGCCGTTGGTCCCAATCTCAATCTTTCGGAAACTTGTGCAGACGCCTGCCGCACAATGACACTTTTTTCGGACACGGGACATGCGAGGCAGCTTTTCACCAACATCTTGGTGGTATTCTTTTCGGAGCTGATCATGGAAATTCACCACGGGCACTCACTACTCATCTCCAACTTCTCAATGTACAGAACAACTCATCTTGAACTGCAGAACAGAGAGCGGAACAAACATAACTGCAAAGGAATCGCATAGCAAACAGTTCCAGCCATGCATGTTGTCTGCTGTACACACAAAAAAAAAAAAGGACACGAAAGGGAAAACAAAAAGCTCACAGTCGGGTGTAGCCACGTGACCTCTCCCACTCACTGACTCCTCTCCACTTCTTCGACCACCATGCACGGGTTTCAGTTTCGGTTCTGAGCAGTTGCGTTTTCTGGCACCATAATAAATCGCCTGGCAAAAAATGAAACTTTGGGGGAGTGTAAGTGTCCGTTTAAGTGGGTTCTGAGTAGAGAGAAAGAGCGAAAGAAGGGTACTAATTATAACAGAATTTTAATCTGGGCTCGTGGTACACGATTTATGAAAAAGCTCGAAATAAAACGAGGACACCAGATAGAAAACGTTTCAGAAAAGCGCCGATTAATTGGGAAGAAATATCTTATCAATGCCCGGTTCTACTCTTTACATTAATCAGCATTTTGAAGCATAACGATGGTTCAATTTAAGGAAGCAGACAAATAACCTCATTCAAGCAGCTGTGGAAACCATAAAATGTAGTCCCTTGCCCAATATCTGAAATGAATATTCAATGAAATTCTGAACTTAACTCATCATCGACCTCTGCAAGCACTGGCATACACTCGGGAGGTGCCTCCGGTGGGCCTGCTACAAGAACCGCTGCTGGAACAGCAGCATCAGCGGCCGGTGCGGGTTGAGTGTCATCTACGCCAGCTCGCACAACGCGAACTGGAGCAGGAGCACCAGCTGCAGGAACTGCTGCTGGGCAAGCTGTAGGAGCTGACCCAACACCGCCAGACGGGACATTGTCCACTGCAACATAATAAAACACTGCTTAGAAACAAGACACGGTACAGGAGTCGACAGATTTTTCGGACGCCAAAAATTCAGACATGCTTGGTTATTCGGACTTCAGCACTTTCGTGGACCGTTGATGGCATGAGGGCTTCATAGTACTTCATGCCACAGAAGAATATCGGCAGTGTGCCTATTTGTTTTTCTGTAACACACCGGGACTGGAAAAGTGGTGCGAGCAGAACACAAAAAAAGGACGAGACACAAAACCAAAAAAGAAAAAGAGGAAAAAAGAAAATGCGCTCAAATTCGCCGGCAGTGGGCGGCAGAGAGCATGTTTACAAAAAGTACCGGTGAATAGCTGATGAATATTCATGCCTAGTACTTCCGACGGTTTGCGAGATATAAGCACAATCTTTCTGACGAAATCCAATGCTGTAGCAGATCATCTGGCCACCTTTTAACCAGTTGCACAGTTGCGTCGCTAGGCACAATCTGCCGCCCGATTAAAGTTCAGCCTTGTTGGTGCTGTGGTCATGCCTACGACCAGCTTCCTCACTCCCTCCTCAGCGAAAAGAACTCCTTTCTCCCCAATGACGAAAGGAAGTGCGCTGGCCGGGCTCATCGGAATGTGCATATTTACAATGTTGTGACCGACAGAACAAACTTTCACTTCAAGCCTCATCTATGCGCACAGACCACGGTGTCTTGGTATGGACATGATTGTTTGACGAACTGCAAAAAAATATTTCTTCTGTCAAAACAATTGCTGCCAAGCAAAACGGGGTCATCGCCATCAGCAACAAGAAACAAACTCTCAAAGCTCCATTTGCACCCTAAGAGAAGAAAAGAGAATTATAGACACCAACTCATTGATACATTGAGGCCACCCTGTAGTATATGCTTACTTCTGTTTGCGACCAAAACAAATGAAAGTTACTTTTGATCCCTCGGATAAAGTGTGAGCACATAATGCGTCGTGTGTGAGGTGGGCAACTGAAAGAGCCTCCACGCTTACCCAGTAGTGCCAGCAGCTGCTACTGCAGTCTTCTTGATAGCGTCCTCTCTATCTGGAGCTGCTGCTCCAGGTTCACCACCCTCTGCTTTGCCGACCGCAGCTTTTCAACCAGTCAGGCATGCTCCACAAGCGACACAGTGGACGTCTTGTCCTCCGTCTTCATTTTTCTTGTACTTGCCACCCACTGCAGGGGATGGCGACATCTCAATCTGGAAAAAAAAAAGGTCCACGCGTTTCAATATTCATTTAATATTAACTTCCAACACAGGATTCGGACACACATAGTTCACATTGAATTGCCCCCCCCCCCCTTTATTTTCTAGGTGTATGTTTCACCCCTATACCTGTGATTGCCCCCTCCCCCTGAAAGAATGCTTCCAGATGCCCATGACCATATATCCGGTATTCACTGTCATTTCAGGAAATAATTGCTACATCGTCCTTTACACACTCTAGTGTGTAAAGGGCGATACGTGTATCTGTTTGCGCTACGTGTACCTGTTGGCAGAAAACACTGTATAGGTAAACGAAATAGTATGATAAAATATAGGTACTTCTCAGTTAGTTAGAAAGTAAATTATGATTATACTGCTTTGCACCCAGTGTACTTTCTATGAGGTACGTAAACTCTCAGTTACTTTGTACTTGCAATCCAGTACTTTTAAATGCGACAGCATTTATAAGCAAACCCTATGCACTTTAGGCCTCCATTGGTCCGAGGATTTGTAACTGCTTTTGAAAACAGCATGCGCCGGCACATTATAATTCAGAAAAGAAAAACATGCCGCCGGCACTGTGCCTCAAACCCACAACTGTTGGGTTCTAAGCCGGGAATCGTATCCGCTTCACTACGAGCACACATCGGCAAGCATTTGCGAAAGAGTTACTGGGTGCAGGCAAGAGCTGCGTTGATGCACGTGCCAGTGACTCAACGCCGTTGTTGCCATAGCAATCTGTGTCGCATCTGGTCGCAGTCGCGCATAGCCACATCTGAGGAGAGCTCTGTGAACCTAACTTTAGCATCATCTATCGTTGTCGGTATGCGAAAGCAGGTCTCACCGGAGGTACATACACGCAAGCGTGCTGAGGCACAGCGACAGCAAAGGGCCTAGGGCATTTCGGAACAACATGAAACATGTATGTATCGAAGCGGATGAAAAGATTTTTAAAAAAAAAGAAACTTTGGCTGCAACGCAAGCAGGACGCCAAACGAACGAGGACGTCTTGCGATAGTGGAGAAGAGATGCCCCTTCGAGTATAACAAGATTGAGACTTAGGTGAGGACGCCTCGTAAGACTGAAGAGGGTCAAATTCAAATATAATGCGGTCGAGAAACAAGCAGGAGAGTATCTCTTAAAATTGAAGACGGACATCTTCGGCTACAGCACAATCGAGACCAGAAGTCGCCAAGCTGCGGCTCTTTGTGTGTTAAAGTGCGGCTTGTGGTCCACATTCATAGAGCGTATCTACCCACCGGATCTGTGTAACAGAATAGCAAGCAATTTAAAAAAGAATGTCTATACAAATAGTCCTGACCAGCCATAATGGAAGGACACAATTACTCATGAGACAAACAAAATGCAAGAAATTCCTTAGCCTAACCGTGCAATTTTACCTACAATTACTGCCCACTGGTAACAGAAGTGAAATATGGTGCCGATTTGAAAAAGGGACACAAAAGACGAACTTAAGGCCGCTGGTTCTGAACAAAGTCTAAGAGTGAGGTAAGAGAAACAGTTTAAAGACGCACATATACCTCGAACCTTGAGTCCAATATCATAGGGATGGCCACGTGCTTCTTTTTCAAAGCAGCAACCAGCAACAAGCTCACCTCGTCTCTGTAAGGCAAAACATGCACATTGAGCTACATCTCAAAGTCGTGTTTGTACCCCTTCCCCCCCTTCCTTTGTATCGAATTTTATTAATATGACCGTTTACCAGCTAGCCTGCGCTATAACCCTTGTTTCAACAAGTCTTTTCTTCTATATTTTTTACAAATTAAATGCAGCACCTAGTCGAACTTATGTGGTAAAGTTGTCGTAGCTTACAAAGCCGATTTGTTGTGATTTATTTTAAATGTCGTGGCTGCCATCTGGAGCGCCCTGTAGTTCAACAATGTAAAACCCTTTGCTTTTGCCGCCCAGTTCTTTACAAATCCGGCGCAAGGACATATTCCTGCCCAACACATTTCGCGAATTCTAGACGCCGGAACGGGGGCACACTAAATTTCTGCTTTCCACGTGTCCTTAAATTTCGCTCATTTTTGGACGTGTAGAATTCGCCAAAAATTAGGGGCTCGCGAACATTAGGGAGTTTTCGTAGACCGCATTTCCCCCTCCGCTAATCTTTCCGCAACGAAGTTACTACTGCGCCTGCACGCCGATAGCCTTGACTGTAGAGTTCCAGGTATATAGCGAGTTGCGGAGGGCGTTCCGGGACGGCGAAAATTAGGGAGTTTTAGTAGACCGTGTTTCCCGCTCCGCTAGCCCTCCGCTACGAAGAAACCGCCACTGCGCCTGCGCGCCGATGGCCTTGGCTGTAGAGTTCCGGGTAGCGGAGGGGCTTAGCGGAGCGGGAAACACGGTCTACTAAAACTCCCTATTATCTACGAAAACTCTCTATTAACGGTTTGCAGTAAACGTTGTGCTTTGAACCCCTGATGCGTAGAAAACAACTTACCATTCCGCGGCGCACGATCCAACAGCCTCCCTTAGACGCTTTTCGGCACATTGGGGTCGAAGTCGCCAACGCTCGCCGGTTTGAACATCTTGATACGGTTCACGCTGACTATTGCCTTCGCGCCATCAACATAAATCACGTACGCTTAGTACATATCGACACCGATACACACCGATCCAGATAGCCCAAACATCAATGCGGCTTTGGATCAGAGAACTGGCCAGTTGGCCAGCGGCGCGGATGGCGCGGATACATAAGGATTGGAATGGATTGAAGAAATAATCTGCCTTAGTTTACATTAGTACTATTATTACTCAAAATAGCTTTAAAACATTTAAAAGCATAAAAACTTACCATGTTAAGTTTATTTCTTCTTAAGAAAAACATTGTTTGTCCGTCGTTGGTTGTTTTTCTGCAGTCTGGCTTGCAGCTACAAAATCCAATCCAATCCGATGTCAATAAACCGAAACTGAAACTACAGCGATACAGGGCTCAAAGCTATGAAGCAAGCTCGTTTATCTCGGCCTCGCTTCCCATGGATTTGGTTTTCGCATTTTATGACTTTAAATATGCATGTCATAAAATGGTTGAGTTTGATAGCTGAAACTGATAAAATTGAACTGACCTAATATGTTATTTTCTGATTAAAATTCTTTATTGACAAAAATATCACACTTTAGTTTCGCGGTGCGCGCGTTCCCGTCGAGGTCTGATAATTTCTGGTCGCGTTAGATAGACCGATCTCACCGGCCAGTTTGACTACGCCACCGCTGCCGCAATGCAGCGAGGGAACTTTAGTATTTGGGTACGTGCGACAACCTCGCTGGAGCTCTTCGCGTGTAGAGCACGAGAAGGCACGAGTCCTCGCGTACACGGCTGTCTGCCTCCTGTGAACTAAAGTTATGGCGGCTTTACGCATGCGCTCAACGCTTAGTGAGCTCGGTCTATTGTGTATACCGGTAGAGCCTGCACAAGGTTACCGACCGCCGGCTTAAGTGCCGGCGCCGGTAAGGCGTTACCGGTCGCCCCGATACGTGGTTGCTGTTAGCCGCGCATCGATTACTGGCCACCGGTACGTTATTACTGCCCACGAGTGTGGCGTACCGGCTTCGCCTGTACGTGTTCACTCGCCGCCTGTACATGATATGGGCAACCGGTACGGCGTATCGGCTTCGCTGGTACGTGGTTACCGATTACCGGTGTGGCCTACCGCCGGTGGCCGTACGTGTTTACCGGCCGCCTGTACATGGTATGGGCAGCCGGTACGGCGTATCGGCTTCGCCAGTACGGGGTCACAGGTCGCCGGTACAGAGCTACCGGTAACCGATATGAGAATACAGGACTCCGGTGTGAACCGGTATAGGCCGGTATACATTTGTACAGGTTTTTTCAGTAGGGAAGGGTACCTGCACACCAGAATAAGTCAGAATTAGTCTGTTTTTTTTTCTTCTTTTGATGAGCGACAACAGAATCCTAAACAGGTGATGAAACAAAATATGAACCCAGCAAGACAGGCTAGTTTGCCTTGAAGTAAGCACAGTGCCTTGGCCAACCAAATGAGGTTCTATTCTTTATCACTTGTCATATTATGTGGGAATAGTAAAGTAAAGGAAAATAAGGCAATCTCTCTTGCAGCCGACAGCTGCAAACAAAATTCAGATACCTCGATGAACGACCTGGAAATAAAATTGGGTGGTGGCCAAGTGGTTTAAGGTGTCAAATTTCAAACTTACAGACTGTAGTTTTGGTTTAAGTCCTCCTGGTGTATATTTTTATCCTTATAACTATATTTACATTGTTTTTGTATTTTTGAGGCACAAGTACTTAAATTATACGCTAATTCACCTTTAGAAGCGTTTTAATTGCACTCCATGCCTTTCTAGTGCTCGTAATTTATTCTTGGTGAAAACGGTCTTAAATTTTTCTTTTCTTGCTCTCGCAGCTGCTTGATTTCTCACCTTTAGAATGCTGACAACTCGACACAAAAGTAATAAAAAATGTGATTAAAATGTCATGAAGATCAGCATTTCCAAGCTGTACCCCTGCTTCATGCCCCGACCATGCCACCATACCATAGCTGAGTGCAGTGACAAATGGTCCCAGGTTTGTCACCCGACCGTATATGGGCTTACGGTGTGGCGCGACTCATGCAGCACCTATGCTTCGCGATGGAGCCAGTGAGCGAGGTGTGACACACCAGAGCTGTGTAAAACTAGTCACAGCTTTACAGCCTGCAAAGCGTGGGAAGATCCCTCTCCCTTTGCAGAGCTGGCATTAGCTCACCGAGAAGCTATTGCAAGCACTAGAAAGCCACAGAGTGTGAATAAAAGCGCTTCTGAAAATGAATTAGTGTGCAAATTATGCACCTATATGGTAAAACTTAAAAAAAAGTATATATGTATATATATATATATATATCTATTTAAATACTAAAAGAGGAAAAAAGAAAAAAAAATGTTTCCAGGTGGGCTTGCACCCAGAGCTCCACGGCCCTGGAATTCAGTTCCCTAAAGCCCGCTTCAGACGGAACAATTTCGCCCAGCAACTTCATGTTGCAACACCAGCAACACGGGCCGCCCGCGTTCACATGCAGAAACCGAATTGCTACGACTTGCCATCATCATCATGAAATTTTATTTTTCTTACAGTATTTAGACGCACAGTTATATCCTAAAAACATGTTTTTATATCTTTAAATTTCGCTGAGAACTCATCTTTTTGAAGTTTATTTTCAAAAATGATCCATTTCAAACCAGAACTAAGTCCTCAATTCTCATCATCACGACCACAGGGGTGTCACGTGAAAATATTGCATTCCTGATTGGCTGCTGCCGCTTCAAACATCTCCGAGTAGTCAGAGTTGCTCGTCCGCTTCGAGCCGGACCCAATCTCAGCAATTCGTGTCGATCTAGGGAAAACTAGGGAACAACCCGCCAGCAGCCCCAAAATTGCTGGAAAGGTTGCCCCGTCTGAAGCGATCCTATACTCTGTTTCATACATAGAGTGCAACGCAGTCAAAGCTAGCGCACCGGTTTGCATTGCTGACCGCGCCTACGTTCGCCCCATAAGATAGGGCGTCCCCTGCAAAAAAATTTTAAACAAGTCGGAAAATGTGTTTCCTCGGGGCTAGTAACTGATAGTGGCGTTATGATTTCAACGGAGCACAAATGTTTTTCAAGAAAAAGGAAAAGATAATGTAAACCACCTTAAATTGTTTTCGTGTTCATCCGTGTGGCAGCCGCTGTGGGTTTTCGGGTTGTGTGGCACTGGCTGGTTTTGAGAAGATGGCGTCTTACGCAGCAAGCTCAAGTACCTCTCCTGCTCGGATGTTTTCGAAGATTCGTTGTGCGAAAATCTTGAAAGAGTGCAAGCAGATGATCGCTAATGTGTACGGGAGTATAAGAACACATTCCCCGGAGAATTCGGTCGTGAAGTCCTGGAGACGGCCAGTAACAACACTGGAGTGTGCCCTGTACTGTCGCGAAGTGCAAGGCGCAGTGCCTATCTGGCAAGGTGGCGTCCCCGAAGCAAAGACCTCGCAACGTGAAAGTTTCGAGCACGGGGACCGTCAAGCATGACGAGTTCACACAGAACGCCATTCGCCTGAAGGTGGATCACAAGTGCTCCGAGAGGGAGATTCCTACCCTTGACAGCTATTTCAAAATAAACTGTACAGGCCACAACTATTGTCGATTAACGTCTTATTATAAATTTTGGGACAAGGCCGCTATCTGGGCAATTCCTCATTCCACGCTGCACGAAAGAAAAATATAACTCGGTGCTGGAGGCAAATAACACTTGCAAAGCGGCAGACCAGATGGTAGAAATCTGGCCTCTCGGCGACTTATAAATAAAAATCAAGAAGGAGGAACTCAAATATGCACTTCGTCAATGCGCACAATCTTGCACAAAAAGTATGTCTAAAAAAGAAAAAAAAACAAAAAAACTTCGCGCGTAAAATGGGTTCGAACCACGGCCACCGAGACGTCAATATCGCCAGAGCAGCGCCTTCTACCACTCGTCCACGAAACGCGCTGAGTAACACTTTTTCTATTTTTTCATGCGTACCACTTTCGTACCTTTGACAGCGTTGCACGCTAAGTATGAAACAGAGTAAAAGACACCCTATTGTCTGGTACAGAGACCATTTATGAACGCTTGGGTGTTTAAACGATGTAC